ATATTTTTGAAATTTCACAAACATTTGCACTCTTGCAGAGATAAAAAAAACAGAACTAGAATCACTTTCTTACCAGGAAAGATGATGATGTAGAAAATCGAATCGTTTTAACAGACCCAAAAGGTGATGACAGACACAAAAAAGGTGGGCAAGTGGGTGTCGCTCTGCTGTACAGTAGGTTACAAGTGGGTCACTGTATAATGGATGGTATTAAATTTGAAATTCAATGATATAATATCATTGTATAAGAAAAACGATTCTGAGCGGTGACGGTATGTCAGTGTATGTATATAAGACATATTATATACTTATCTATGGTATTAAAAAAATTGACCTATAATGAATTCCAAATTAATCATATCACAATATCCATTAGGTACTTATAACGCTACATCAACGAAAACCGTGATACTATCATAGATATATAATAGTACACTTTAGAAGTTTCAAGTACCTACAAATAATATTATTCAATCATAACAAAATAACTAAAATAGTTATTCTAGGTTTTTTTAATATGTAATTTCGTCCAAATTTGAATTTAAAATGTCTGTAAAAAATAAGTGTGTTCATATATTTTTTAGATTTTTTGGTTATAGTATGAACTATTTATGAGAACCTTTGTGTTGAATTTGTAATCCTTAGCTATAAAAACTGAACATTATATAATTTATTAATTACAATGATTGATAATTTTCGAGATTTTGATAAATTTTGTCAAAATTTGATCTTTAAATGCTTATAAAAAAAACTGTGCCTATGTTTTTTTAATATTTTTCAACTGCTATTGTAAAAATATATCAGGAGCCTTGTATTAAATTTTTACACTTTTTGGCCCTACAGATAAAACTTTATTGATAATTGTAGAAAAAAAAACTAAAAAAAATTGAAAGCTGTAAATGTCCATAAATAGCTCAAAAAGAGTCAAAATATTTTCAAAATTGTATGGTGTATAGGAAATGCTAATTTAAACATTCAGTGAAATTTTCATGTATCTACAGTTGTTCGTTTTTGAATTGCAACAAAATAAGGAAATCGCTACATGAGTAATCGAGTGAAAATCCAATGTTGTAAAAATTTGAATTTCAAACGCTCATAAAAATTTAATTTGACTGTCCGGTAGAGATATTTTTATTGATAAAGGTAGATAATCTTATAAGGAATCTTGTGTTTCATTTTCAAATCTTAGATTTAAAAAGAAAAAATTTTTACGAATTCTTAACTCAAAATAATTTGCTAATTTTCGTGATTTTTCCATATTTTGTCAATTTTTGAACTTTAAATGCTTATAAAAAAAAATTGTGACTAAGGATTTTTAATATTTTTCATCTGCCTTTGAAACAACATATTAGGAGCCTTCTATTAATTTTCAAGCTTTCGCAACCAACAAATAAAATTTTATTGATGTTTTTAGAAAAAAAACTAAAAAAAAATGGAAAATGAAAATGTCCCTAAACAGTTCAAAATAAATCAAAATATTTTGAAAATTTTATCGTGTATAGAAAATGCAAATATAAACAACCAGTGAAAATTTCATGTATCTACGGTCATTTGTTTTAAAGTTACACCAAAAACCAAATTCGATTTTTTGGAAAACTGATTTTGCGTAAAAATTCCCGTTTTTTCCTTAATTTTTATGTTGTTTTTCCCGGCGTTTGTGAAAACTATTGTGAATTTTAAATTTTGACCTCCCCAATGCACCAACGATATTCACTTTCCAATCGAACAAGATACTGAAGTCGAAAATCGAAGCATTATTTCGACTACTTATCGTGTACACAGACACAAAAATAAAAAAAAAAATAAAAAAATTAAAAAATTAAAAAATTAAAAATTAAAAAAAAAACACACATCATTGTAAAATCAATACATTCATCGTTTCACTCAGAATCTGAAATAAAAACACACATCATTGTTAAATCAATACATTCATCGTTTCGCTGAGAAACTCAAATATTAATATTCAGTTATGTAGGTAACTTACTTACATACATATATTATATCTGAAAATATATTCAGGAATAATTATTCCATAAGGCTTTTATAGTTCGGAAACTGCTTACTGACCAACGTATGTTTAAGATACAAGCTATTTTATTAATTTCAATGCCTACAAGATTAGTCAAGCCCCTTGGATTTTTGGGACTTTGATGATAATACCTAAGCAGAGAGTTAGTCCATCAAACTCTGAAAATGGGAAACTGTTGCTGATATTTTAGCATACCTACACTGTTTGATTATTAAAATTATGATTTTTAGTTATACCAAATATAAATATTTTAAATTACCTATGGTAAATACAAACTTTATTTATAAACGTATAAGGTACCTAATAAGAATATTTTTATGAAATGATTGAGTCTATTTATTTTTATTTTTATTTCATTAGACTACCTACTATAGAATAACGCAATTCCATAATATTTACATATAGGTACGCAAATTTACAATTCAAACATACGTTTATTTAATTATAAAAGAAATTAATAAAACCTAAAAAGCAATAGTTTTATATTCACACTACCTATAGGCAAAGCTTGTCAAGTTAGTATTTTTTTTCAACTAGTTGAAATTAAGTTACTTTAATAAAAAAAAATTAACTAAGTTAGAATATAAGTTAGTTTCTGAAACTGTCTAAATTTCTAACTTAGTTAAAAGTTAGTTTGGTGAAAATAGTAACTTAAGCTAGAATAGAAGTTAGAACTTAGTTTTTTTTTATAGATTAAAAAACCGTTTTGTTGAAATGTAAATAATAAGTTATCTAACTTAAATTATTGATTAAAGCTGAAAAACTGAATTAAACACCTATTAATTTGATCAAAATGTTCTAATTAGGTATTCATAATTTCATACATATATATATATATATGTATATCACTTATCAGTTTTTAGAACATAAAAGGTGAAACAAAATAAAAAAAAATTATAACAGTATGTCAAATTAAAATTTTAATATTAAATAATAATACATAGTATAATCTTTATAACTATATTCTAGTATATTATATAAAAGGTTTTTTAATCTATACAATAAAACTAACTTATAATTCCTACTCTAACTTAAGGTACATTTTCACCAAACTAACTTCTAACTAAGTTAGACATTTGGACAGTTTCAGAAACTAACTTATATTCTAACTTAGTTAGTTTTTATTAAAGTAACTTAACTTCAACTAGGTAGTTGAAAAAAAATGACTAACTTGTCCAGCTTTATTGTGCATAGAGAAAAACCACCAGACGGAATTGTTGAGATTAAAGAGAGGTTTTGGACCATTACAATGTGCGAAACATATAGTCCAAAACATGTTTTTTCTGTCTCATATGCTCATATGTTATGTTTTCTCTCTCAGTCGTTTAATAACATTTTTAAGCCCTTGACGCAGATGGTATGTTTTACTTTTGTTTTAACTTTTAGGTCAGGTACATATTATAACATAATTTAACTATTTTTTCATCATAATTATGTATATTCTATTTATTATTGTTTCAAAATAATGATTAAGTCATAAGTATAGTTTAAGGTGGTGCTATTCGTTTCTTGATGGCTGACGTCATTGGGTTGAGCTTAGTAATATTGCCTATTGCCTTACACGTGTAAAAACTTCTAAGCTTAAACAATAATTTACCTATGTATAAACATGTGATATTTGATGCTTAAGAAGTATTGGAAATTCAATATAAATTTTAGTTTTTCAAATATTATAAGTACTAAGTAATAATGATTGGATGTGCCATGCCGTGTTGCAATGAGTGACTGTTGCATACTTGCGTTTACATATGTGTACGAAATGAAAATTAATTATGGGATTTAAAATATTTCAAAAAAACTTAACAATTTATACAAATTCTGGTTCCACAAACGCCTTCAGTCAATAAAAATACATCACTTATGCGTACAACATGAAATCGAAAATATAATTTTAGGGTAAGTCTTTTAAGTAAGTATGTTTTGTGTGAAGCGAGAACTTTTTACTCGTATAAGCTAGACAATTATGGCAAAACACGGCCAAATGACTTTGGGAGTTTCTTTTTCAATTTTTAACACGTTAAACGCCAATGTCAGCCCGTAGTTGACACGACTAAAAGGGCGCCCATGGCCAATGTCTATGCCGTAGTTGACATAGAATAACCTATTTTGTATTGAGTCTATTTTGGTGGCTATAGCTGAACACATTTAAAAATTCTATAGGACATTCAAAACCATATTGACAATTCTGTAAAATCTACTAATTTTACAATTGGGACGGTCGCCCGCAGGCCAAATTATGTCGGCCACTGGAGTGCGCATCCCAAATAGACGTCAGCGTTCAACGTGTTAATCAATAATGTGAGTAAAAACATGATAACCCTACACCAGTTTTCTTAGAAATAAACATTGTTTTAATTAAAAAAAAAATCAGATCTTGTGTTTTGTAACATTCAAACAAATTCTTAACAAATTTCAGCGAAGCAAATGTTGTCACTGCTAACTGTAGAAATTTACAATAATTCCAAAAAATCAAGGTAAAGATCAGACTGTCCAAATTTATACGGTTTTCAAAATTTTAAATTTTTATATAAACAATTAGGATACATGGATTTTTAAATACAACCTTTTAGATTTATATTTTATACCACCCATGTTTTTATGCGCTTCCATTTATTCACAATAAAATGTGAGCATATTTTACTTTATTTACTATTTAAATAGATCCATAATATACACATACAATAATTAATGAATTACAATTTAAATGCTTGTAAGTAGCTATAACAAAAAAATAATGTAAATTGAACGATAAAAATTAAAAAAATGAATAGATAAAATTAAAATTTTACAACTAATAATATTAAAAAAAATAATAATTATACATTTATAACAAACATCAAATACCCTAAACTTTTCATTCGCTTTTTATATAAACAAAAAGTACATGATTAAATATTAAAATAAAACATTTGTAGTGTTAATCATTTGTAGAGTCGACGTCAGGTTTGATAATATTTGTCTTAGATTATTATTATTCTAGATGTGCTGGGTTGAGTGTTGGTATCCATAAAGTTATCATTCTATCCAAAGAAATCTGAAGTTCATTTGCAGACTTATAGAATGGATGACTAGGTGACTAAAAAACATATATTACAAATAAATTGTAAATAAAATATTAATATAGGTAATACAATAACATTAAATTCCAGCCTCTAATGAACAGTTAAATATTCATGAAGGATACCTAAAAATTCACAAATTACAATAAAATAATAAAATATTATTTTTTTTAATAAAGATCAATGATCAACTTAAATTTTTAAAATGTGTGGTAAGTATGAATTATGAAATGTATAAAAAAAGTTATTTCATATACATATTCAAAACTATAAAATTGATTGAATTATACTAATAATAAGCTTACTGAATTATAATTTTTTATAATTATGATAACATTTAAATAATTTTTTGTTTTACAAAACATAGATTTATGGCTATTAATTTGTAAAATACCTGTACTTTGATTTGTTTTATAAAATAAAATACTGAAAAATATAATTTGTGACACATAATATACTGGTGGACTGCTGTTTTACAATCTTGCAACGTTTAACTGGACCAATGTAAAATTAAATATATTTTTATTTGACAAAATAAAAATAAAGGAAATGTTATTTAAATTCTAAGCTAAAAAGAGGAATTTTATTTTTGTTGTTTTGTAATGAAATTAATATATTAATTTTTTTATTGAGTTAAGGCTTTAACATCTGAGGTCATTATCCTGAAAGTTATTCTTAATTGGTTTTTAACTGGGAGGGAGGGTTTGGTTCGGAGCACGTGTATATGTGGCGATGATTTTTCACTAAAAACCTGGGTGGTCACCTATCCAGAAACTAGCAACACTGGCTGATACTTGACCTCAGAATATGTTAGTGACTGAGGCCAAACACAGTGCCACACTAGGCCATTTATATATTAGAATACAATAAATTTAAATAAATATTAAAAACACAGGGCACTTGGGGAGGGCCAACAGAAGAGACTATTTCTTATAGCGAGCTGTGACTGTATGTTTTGAAAAAAATACGTTTGCTAATTATTAATGGGTTATTTTTAAATAATACTAGACATTAAATTCTTTATAAAAAACAAGTTTTTTATATTTTCAATTAATTATACATATTTTTGTAATATATTTTAAGATTTAACTTTTTAAAACTTATTGTATTACATTTGTATATATTTTCATTATTATAGCTTACACGAGTTAATATTAATATTCCAATTGAAGAAGATTTAATAGCCCAACTAAAAACATTTATGTGGAGACATATACTTATGCATACCTCCCAGAGAAAATAATGTTCTTATCGGTTTATTGTTTGATGAACATGCAGAAGAGCTTTCTTTTTCATCAATATACCTCTGTCAATTTCGTAAATTTAAAAAAGTTTTCTCTATTACGACATTTATGATGGCAACTAGTGAACTCAGGCGATCTGACAGAAAATTAGTTATGCCCCGTCACTTTAATAATTAACATTTGTTAATTTAAAAATTTAAATCACGCGCAGTACTGTTGGTATAACTGACACCGTAATTTGGGTTGCCAATATGTATATGTGTGAATATAGTTGAGTTGGTTACCGGACAGTTTTCGTTTGCCAGGACTATAGCGTTCCATGAAGCGAAACAAAAGCTTTTTCCCCGTGCAAAACGTACAAACATAGCCCGCTAAAAGAAGTAGTTACTTCAATAAAATATAATACTTATTTTGTTGTATTTTTATTTTAATTTTTTTTTAATTTGACCTTTAAATTGCCTAACGATGGTCATTATTCATTAACTATAAAATAAGCCAACTGTCTTCTATACATTTTATTTTCCTACTTTTTTTATAAATATATAATATCTTATATAATTGGGGATGGCTACAATTATCATTAATTAAATAAATAAATAGTAAAATAAATATTATTTTAATTATGTAAACAAATGGCTAATTTTTGGCAGCCAAAATATAATGTATTGAAGCAAGTGGATAAATATTTTTTTTCTGTGCCATGCTTTTATGGGGTCTGCTGGAATAAATAACATTTAAAATTGTATATCAATAGTGCTTACAGAATAATATGTCTTTCCATTTTTCAACACTCTTTTCATATCTTTAAGAATATCAACAACTGATGTATACGATACATCAAATTCTAAACGATCCTTGATATTATTCAATGATATAGGATTAGAAATTCGTTCGTAATATGCTGGATACTGTAACATACATTTAATCTTATTTTAATAAAATTGTATATTATTTACAAACATTTTTATGTCTGCATATCTTACTATTTCTCTATTCAAACATTCTCGATAGTGTTCACTGTCCTCATTTTGACAATACAACTCTAGTAATATACGTTCAATGATTTTTCGACCAGAAGAATCAATATGACATGTCATATTCTTTTTACATAAGTTACTGGTATATTTTAAAATGTCCTGGCAAAGTGTACACTTCCAAAATTGTAATGATGGACTGTAAAAATATATAATTTACAATAATTATAATAAATATATAATTAAAAAAATAATTACTCTTTAGGTTTAAGCTCCTTAGGTAGTGAAGGAATATGACAATGATTATGATAAGACCTATCACAGCATGTGCAGTTTATTAATTCTTCAGTATATTGATTACAACAAGAACAATATACAAGTGGTTCAAAGTCTGAACTGTCAGAATCTATAACACAAAATTTAAAAAAAATGTTAATCATTATAAACATCAATATTATAAGTATATAAAATGTGTATTCAAAGTATTTTACCTTCATCTATCAACATTTTATTATTAACTTTTTCTAGCTTAATCAAGCCAGGTTGTATCATCGCCGGTTCGGGCATTAAAATTGGAGATTCCTAAAAACAATTTATTAAAATAATATTTTAATGTTATGCACATATACAATGTTGAAATTTTTATTATATACCATTAATAAATAATCATACGCTTGATACCTACAGTTATAAATCATTACCATACTAAATTCATGCTTGCTAAATAAAATAATAGAACAAAATATACTTAACATGAAAAAAAAAATGCTTCAAAGTTTGAATCTTAAGAATCAGTACAAGCTCAAAAGGAAAATGATAGAGACAACTATCAGATTAATAATTAGTAATAGAATGTGAGATTTTCAAAAAAAATTATTGTTATAAATATTTTAAATTCTTACATCATTTTCAATAGTTTGGAGAACTTTATTTGGGTCAACTGTGATTTTAAATTCTGATAAACTAACAATTTTTGATGAAATAATATCTCCCATTCCTTGAATTGCTAAAAACAAAATTATTATTTTATTGTTATAGTTCATATATCAAATTGTGTTTGCTTCCAACTTACATTCTACAATTTTGTTCATAGATTGTTCATCATTGTATATCAATTCAGCTTTACAAGTTGTTGCTTCTTTAGGTATATCTTGGGTATGTCTCTTAGCAATGACCATTTTATTCTTGATAATTCTAAAATAGATTAATTATGTATATTTGTATGTGTTAGTTACATATTTAACTTAAATTTAACATACTTTGAAAGATTAATGTATTCAACAATTTTATCCAAATTGATAACAGAGCTTGTTAAACTATAATAATAATCATTTTCTTTTTCAAAATCCTTAATAACATTAATATTCTTATTAATAATATTAACAGCATTTGTGAAATTTGTTTCAAGTAATTTTTTTAGTACAAGTCCGCGTTTATCAGCTTCTTCGTGTATCCTGTAATGAGACAATAAGTTTTAGAAAAGAGTTTTTATTTTATTACATTGTTTATAACTTACATTTTGATTCTTTCATCAATTTTGTCATTAATTTTTTTCTTATTGGATTTCAATTTCATGATATTTTCATTTGACATTTCCCTTATAAAGCTTAAATGATTGTTTTCTTTCCTGCAAAATAAAAAAATTTAAGTTTTCATATGTAAACAATGATTAGCCTTTCCACTGCTACATTTTTACTAACTAAAACATCCATCTCTAGATAACCGTTTTTGAATTATTATTTTTAAATATTTTCCAATGAAAAATTTAGTTACATTGGAACATATTTAAAAAATATTGTATTTATTTGAATTCTAAGTTTAAAATTCATATGACTAAGGTAATCAAACACAATACCTAGCAAATGCACTTAAGTAATAACTAGATATAATAATAATTTCAAATGAGTATAACCTAACCAAAATGAATATGGAAAACTTTTTTTTACTACTAAATTTGCTATTAAATACATTTTTATTTTAATTTTATTTTATATGCTAAACCAGCATATTTTATGTTTTGAATAAAGGAACTTAGGGCCAGTTGTACCATCTATGATTAAAGTTAATCAGAGTTTAATCGGCCGAATTTTCCCGTTTAAATATCTGTTATCAGCTGATTAAGCTTAATCATAGTTTAATCATAGACGGTACAACTTGCCCTTAAAGTACTTCCATACTAGTCAAAGAGTTAAATAGAAGTACTTAATATAAAATATTTTTTATAATAATTCTTTTCAACATACCTTATATCAGTTAGTAACGTTTGCAATTCTGCCTTGGTTTCAACGGCCATTGTGGAAAGAAGATTAAAATCATGTTTCTGATGAAAGTTTAAATGACAAAGAGGACAAAGCAAAATCGAACATTTTGTACAAAATACTTCTACAGATTTCTAAAACAAAATAATAATTCTTATTTCCAAATAGCTAAATTTAAACAGACTAAGTAAAACAAAAAACTTCATAAAATATTCCTTTACACTTAAAACGTTTTTTAAATTTATATTTCAATCTCATTTTTATTCATTAATTCATTAATTTAATTCAATGCTTTTACATTTGTTTTTATACTTATAACTTACTTTCATACATTTTGGACAAGGAACAAATTCTTTTTTTAATGGATAAGTGATCATCAAGGCAGGGTTATGATCTTCATTCTTAATTGAATGGGTCTATTAATAAAAAAAAATATTATATTTTGAACTAAAGAAATATATATATAATGTCCAGAAGAAATTTAAAGTTACCTTTGAACATGGTTTGCAATACAAACTTTTGCAATACATGCAGATTTTCTTTGCTATGACTTGACAATTTTCTTCACAACATATCTTTACCGGTGATTGATTGGTTGCCATAATCGAGTAATTAATGAGTTCACCCTTAGTCACTATTTTACATTTACACCATATACCTAGGTTTTCATAACATTTAAAATTATATGAATTTTAAAACTTGTCTAATATCGAATGAAACAAAAAATAATTTTACCTGAATCAGTACTTTCTCTCTTAGTGCAGTCTTTACAAATAATATGAAGACATCTTAGGATTTTTGAATCTTCCTCTATTTTTCCTTCACAAAATATACATTTTCCTATTGACCAAAGGTCGACATTCTCGTTGTTAGCAATGTCTGAATTCATTTTTTTAAAGCTGAAATGAAAAACATTTTTAAAAAATGTCACGCCTATTCCAATATTTAATTTCACCTATTAAAAGTTTAAAACTACTAATTATTTTCTAAAAAAAAAAAATAATATTTATATAGTTAATATCTTGGAATAAAATAGATGGATAATAGATATAGTGTAGTTTTTCTAAATGGTAAATAATGTGATTCTTATTCATAATAATAATATAAAAGTAGGTAGTAAATGGTAAACATTTTAGGCATCTATAAGGTCAATAGGAGATGGAATTTACATTTTGTCTTTTTGAACATTTTTCTAGAAAACCATTAAATGTGAAAAAAACAGAATGTAAAATGTTAGTACTTATTTGAATTATATGTAACATATAATGTAGCCTTATACTAGTCTCCTTTGAATTAATACATCTAATTTTTACTCTATCTTCCAGATATGTAATTGCTATAAGACCCGAAGCCCAAATACTTCATACCATGATTATACAATATAATATATATGTGTCATCTAAAATATATTATTTATACACCCACTATCAGCCTGATCATATTATAATAAGTCCACAGTGAAATTTCAATAAAAATACTAATGACATTAATCAAGTACGGATTAAGGGGGGCAGGGGGGGGGGCATGACCCTGGGCCCATAACGGATATTAAATAGTAGTTGACCCCTGGCGAAAAGTACTTTTTTTATTAAATCAGAATTATTTAGATATAGTAATAATAGTATATTTTGTAATTCAAAAGAAACATGTACACTGGTATATATTATACAAGATACAGTGGCGTACACACGAGGGGGGGGGGTGTTCAACCCCCCCCCCCCTTTAGTATTTTTTCAGTTTACGTAATAACGTAAAAATGTATAATAAAAATGATGACAATTTAAAAAAATATTATATTCCAAATTATACTCCATTATATTATAACTTATAAGCAACCCAGTTTGTTGTTATAATATATTGTAGATATTATTGTTAACTTGTTACAAATTAATGAAATTATTGGGAAATTTGTTCAAACACAAACATGAGGGTCGACAATCGTGTAATCCGATATAATATGCCTTAATAGCTATCGCAGTATCGCTAATACTAAAGTATAGAATCTATTTCTCAGTTTTCAATCAAATTCCTGACGCTTTGGACGTTTAGTAAATTTTATTGTACTTACTGTTTAAATATTTTATACAACAATAAAAATGAAAAGAATAAACGAATATTTTTCTAACTCACTAATTTGTGATACAATTAACTCGGAGGAACCAGGTAAATATTTAATACATTATATTATCAACCTAGGACCTAGGTACAAAAAAATGATTAATATGGTAAAAATAAATTTCTCTTTATACCTATCTTTTATTGAATTGTATATAATATATTATTATATACATATTGTATGTACGCGTGTAACTTTGTAGTTATACTAAATAATTACCTGTAGGTAATAGGTATATATTTTTTAAATAATAATCGAGAATTGTAAAAATATTTTTAATTTCGCCTTCAGTCATTGCTAATGAGCCGATTACTCATTATGTACAAAATAATTACTATAGGTACATCGTTTTGATTCATCAATGTATTATATATATATAAATATATGTATATAATTTTTTTATATGTAAGCCCCCCCCCATTGAAAATAGCTGTGTACGCCACTGACAAGATAAAATACAAAGATTTGCAATGATAATATAAACTTATATCATTATTATAATACATTAACGTTTCCTATAAGCTATACTTAGGGCCAGTTGTACCGTCTTCGGTTAAACTACGATTAAGCTTAATCAGCTGATAACAGATATTTAACCGTGCAAATTTGGCCGATTAAACTCCGGTTAACTTTAATCAGAGATGGTACAACTGGCCCATAGAGTACTCTATGAATCTATACCATGGCTAAATAGTAAATACTATATTTATAATGGATAATATGTTATTATTATTGTTATTATGCTATCGTAATATCGGCAATATCGTCTACATCGAGATAGATAAACAATAGTATTGTTTATCTATCTCGATGATCGTCTATTTTTAGCAGGATGATAATGATAATACAATGGAAATTGGAATTTATAGGAATCCCGAGTACAACGAATACCGTCGATTACGAATTTACGACGGTTGAAATATCATTCATTACTAATACAGTCGAACTTGGTTATCTCGAACTTCTTTAACTCGAAATCGTCGATACCTCAAACTTTTACTCCGGTCTCTAGAATTTCCTATTTAAACAATGTAAAAAAATCTTGTTTAACTCGAATATTTTCGTGGATAACTCGAAGTTTTGAGTTTTATTAATACATATAACATATGTATTTGTATAAAATTTCCGTCATTTACCTATAAAGGTCATTAGTCATTCATAGGCGTGCGCACGGGGCGAGCCGGTCAAGCCCAGGCTCGACCTGAAACTTTTTAGGGGCATAGTAAAATGTGCGTATATATTTAAATATTTTATTATAATGCTTATATTATAATAATATGTTCGTGGAGATCATGAAAATTGTGTTTGTCGTGAAGGTATAAAAAAATCAAAAATATTTGTGTGTACCTACCTAACCTAACCATTACATACATTTTATTAATCTAAAAAAAAACATTATACCTTTATAGGTACAAATACAATAACTAGGTATAGTACTATAGACATTAATAGGTTAATATATTATCAACATTTATGTTGGTGTGTTAAAAAAAAAATTAGGGGCGCGGTCCAAATATTAGGGCACTATTAGGCTCGACCAGAAATTTAAGTCTGCGCACGCCTATGTAGTCATTACTCATTAGTCATTAACAGGCACGGCGCCAAGGGGGGGGCAAGGTGGGGCTCTAGCCCCCCCAGAAAACAGATCAGCCCCCTCGCCAGCCCCCCCCCAACACTGAAAAATATGTACGATATAATTAATGTTTGTTGTATACAGTTAAAAATATTTTTAGTTGACTTATTATTTTAAATAGGTTTATGTTTGATTAACACAATACTATTGTGTAAGGAGTTGGTATTCGTACCTACCTACTTATATTAGTTTAGTAATTAGCATGCCAAATTTCTTATTTCAAATAATTAAATAATTAATTCAATTTTCTTATTTTGTTATTTTTATAATCTTATTTGTCATGGTAATTAGTTCACATATTACTTGATAATTAATAAAAAAAGATTTCTTAAAGTATCTATGTTTTAATGTATATAATATATGAACTATTTTAACCTCCAAAATTTAACAAAAAATATAAAGTAGGTACTTCAATAGTCAATACATACACTACTATGCAATTACCAATTTAAAAATGTATTGAATTAAAAATTTAAAATGTACTAGTTAAATATAAGGTAGGTAATCAAAAGTTTTTATTTAAAACAAATTGTATTCCTACTGATATCAGTGCAATTGTATACATTTTTGTTAACTTTTTCAATATTAAAAGATTTTCAATCATTTACTGTATGGTGCATAAACAGGTATTCTATAAAAAATCAATATTTAGCTCATAAAGAAATTATTATTTTTGTATATCATATTATCATTATGAATACATATAGTTGTTGAAGGTCTTAGGTCTGTGATTAAACATTTTCTTACATATTACATAAGGTACAAAAAAAATATTTGATATTATTCTTAAAACATTTTTAACTATTCAAAAGTTTGTAAATATTATATGTTTAGACGTTTAGAGCATACAATATAAAACGATTAAAACGTATGTACTATATAGCTAATAGCTATATTATGTTATATGATACGAAAATATTTATATTTCATTTAAATAACCTCAGCATTTGTTGAAACAATTTTAGCCCATGTAAAAAAAATATTTGCCCCACTCTGCCCCCCCTGGAAAAAAATTCTAGTGCCGTGCCTGGTCATTAATGTTATCGTTACCGATCAGTTGTTTATCTACGGTTTACGACGACGACGACTGGTCACGACGACGCATGACTTTCGTGTTCAGTGCTCTGAGTTTGTTTCAACGTGATCGTTCGTAATGTCGTCATCAAAACGCGTAATGTCATCATCAAAAATTAACCTCATTTTTGTTTATATGTGCATACATTACCTACCTTTTTAAAATTACATATACATACATGCATATAAATACATAGTAGGTAACTAATTTCTATTGCACATTACATATTTTATTTATAATAAACACAGGAATTAATATACAGTAGGTACTGTTTTAAAATTTTTTTTTGGATAACTCGAATTCTTTTATAACTCGAACTTTTACTCCGGTCCTTTCAACTTCGAGTTAACCAAGTTCCGACTGTAAATAGTAATAAATTTAGCTATCAAACTGTTTTTAATGATAAAACATATTCCTCAATAGTCTTGTATAGTCTTCAGTTGATGTCACAATAACGTTAAACAGTGGCTAGTGTTAGTGTTTTGTTTTACAAATACAACTTATAACTTATAATATTGAAATTTGAAGTAAAAATCGAGTATGAGTGGCTGTAAAAAATATTTAAGTGGTGCTCAGAAAAGAAGAAAGAAGATCTTTTGATGACATCTGCTGTTAAGTGCACTAAATGAACAGGATTTTTTTCTTCAACTAATGAAAGTGACGATAAACCAGTTTCAAATGTTATAGAAACAGATCATAGTATTTCAAAGGAAAATAATATAAACAATGAAACTAATATCAATTGTAAGTACATTTGAATTTTAACTAGAATAATGAACACATTCAAACAATATTTATAATTTATTTAGGTCCCCACATACTGTGGCGGTGGCGTTAAATTCTATTGTCTTGGCTTCACCGCCGCGGTGAGCGGTGAAATGTGTCCTACAGCCTTTTGGCCAAGTAAAATAAATGACGATTTTGTGGATTATTGTATTAAAAAAGGACCATAATTTTTTCAAAATAAACAAAAATTATATACTCAATCTGCACGCATTAGTGGTAAATATAGTACTTAGTCATTATTTATTTTTATTGTTATTACTTGTTAAAAATTTGTAATTATTAACAATAAATTATTAATTTTTTTAATAAAACATTCTTATTATAATTTATTCATGTTTATATATCAATATCATTGATGTGTAATAAATTAATAATTAAGTTAATTTATTTGATTTTTAGATCATAAAAGACATTTAACGCCTGCAATGTTTGAAAGAACTTTACCTAATGGTCAAATTTGTGATCGGCTGTGGCTTTTGTATTCTCCAAGTCAGGGTTCAGTATTTTGTTTTATGTGTAAGCTTTTTACAAAGAGCCGTGAAAACCCTTTTGTAGAAAATGGGTTTGATCAATGGAAAAATTTGAAAAAATATCATACCATGAAAACAGCATGTATCACAGAGAAGCAAATACTACATGGCTACTTCGAGAAAACTCATTAAATTCCATAAATCAACAAATCTATAAACAAATATCTACTGAAACTCAATATTGGATTGAGGTTTTAAAACGCGTTGTAGCAGTCATTAAATATTTATCATCACATGGTTTACCATTTAGAGGAGACAATGAAGTATTTGGAGAAAAATATTATGGAAATTTCTTAGGACTTCTAGAACTAATTTCTGAGTTTGATCCATTTTTGAAAACCCATATTGAATTACATGGTAATAAAGGGAGAGGTCATCCATCATATCTATCTAAAACAATTTTGAACGAATTAATAATTCTGATAAAGAGACGTGTTATTAATTATATTGAAAATGAAACAGAGAAAGTAAATATTTTTCATTTATTTTGGACTCAACTCCGGATTTGTCTAAGGCAGATCAAATGGCAATAGTATTAAGATATTGTACAACACATAATGTACAAGAGAGATTATTAGAGCTTCAACCTGTTGATAGTCACAGAGGTGAGTCAATCTTTAAATTTTTCTTAAAAATTCTAAACTTGATATTTTAAATTGTCGCGGTCAGTCGTATGATAATGCTTCTAATATGTATGGAACTTAAGAAGGTCTACAAGCATATGTAAAAAGAAAGTGTGATTTAGCTATTTATGTTCCTTGTACTGCTCATTCACTTAACCTAGTTGGAGTTCACTGTGTGAATTGTTGCTTAGAAGCAGTACATTTTTTTGGGTTTCTTCAGTCACTGTATAATTTTTTCAGTAGTGCTACTCACAGATGGAATTAGAGATGTGAGTGATGTAAATTTTTACTGGTAAAAAAATTTACCGTACATTTTACCAATTTTTTTTTTACCGGTAAATTATTTTAAAAAAATGTGTGACCCCCTCTAATCAAATGAAATCGAAAACGCCTAGTCTGAATTGTAAAGAGATATATTTTTTATCAAATGATAACAATACAATAATGAATAAAGTACTAATCACGGTTTAAAATAAATCTTAAACCGTGGTACTAATCATATTTTCTATTTGTTCGGTATAAGATCAATTGTCAATCGTTATCATGTTATCAGCTGTCGACCTGTGTTGTTATGACTATTTGATATTTCTATTTTAAGACATATTTTTGAGTTTCTAGTCTCTAGACTCTATAATCTATAGGGTATCAACAAAAATATTTTTACCAATTTCCACTTTCCAGTTGACAAAAATACCTTAAAAATTTTTAAATATAGGTACCAAGATGAAGCCTCAAGAAATAAAAAAGGATATTTTGTACCGATTGAAGGCAAACGTTTTCAATGCTTATATTGCGAAAGCATTTATAAAGAAAACGTTACTAGAATGACTTTACATTTTTCAAAATGCAAAAGAAACCATCCTCAATTGCATCAAATAAAAAAAAAAATAACAACGGACAACAGGGTAAGTTAAAAACTTAAAATAACTATGTACTTTTCCGGGATTCAAGTAATTTATGCATTTTCTGATCATATTATAATATTAAATATAGTGTTACCATGTATTCATGCCATTGATTAAATACTCGGTGGCTAGAAAGTGGGTTCCTAAGATTATTTTGTATGATAATTTATCATAGATTTTTTGTTGTTTTTGAAATATTTAATGGCATTTGTTAAGTACCTATACATGTATATTATATTATGATGCTAATAGCTAATAGGTATATTTTAATTTTTAGGAAACAATAATAATTTCATTGAAAGTGATTCATCAAATACAACCAACGACACCAACACAGGCTTAAAAAAGATCAATACTGGCCTTACTTAAGAAAGAAAATTAATATCATACATGTTGACAATACTATACAAAATGAAATTATACAATTCAAAAAATATTGGTGTATCAGTAAACCTTCATATGATGACACACAAGATTATCTGCTAGATATTTGGAAGCATTTCAATGAAAAAAAGGTGGGCAAGTTGGTGTCGCTCTGCTGTACAGTAGGTTACAAGTGGGTCACTGTATAATGGATGGTATTAAATTTGAATTCAATGATATAATATCATTGTATAAGAAAAACGATTCTGAGCGGTGACGGTATGTCAGTCAATGTATAAGACATATTATATACATATCTATGGTACTAAACCAAAATTTGACCTATAATAGGTACCTATAATAAATTCCAAATTAATCATATCACAATATCCATTAGATACTTATAACACGTTATACATCAACAAAAACCGTGATACTATCATAGATATATAATAGTACACTTTAGAAGTTTCAAGTACCCACGAATAATATTATTCAATCACAACAAAATAACTAAAATAGTTATTCTAGGTTTTTTAATATGTAATTTCGTCCAAATTTGAATTTAAAATGTCTGTAAAAAATAAGTGTGTTCATATATTTTTTAGATTTTTTGGTTACAGTATGAACTATTTACGAGAACCTTTGTGTTGAATTTGCAATCCTTAGCTATAAAAACTGAACATTTTATAATTTATTAATTACAATGATTGATAATTTTCGAGATTTTGATAAATTTTGTCAAAATTTGATCTTTAAATGCTTATAAAAAAAAACTGTACCTATGTATTTTTAATATTTTTCAACTGCTATTGTAACAATATATCAGGAGCCTTGTATTAAATTTTTACACTTTTTGGCCCAACAGATAAAACTTTATTGATATTTATAGAAAAAAAAACTAAAAAAAATTGAAAGCTGTAAATGTCCATAAACATCTCAAAAAGAGTCAAAATATTTTCAAAATTGTATGGTGTATAGAAAATGCTAATTTAAACATTGAGTGAAATTTTCATGTATCTACAGTTGTTCGTTTTTGAATTGCAACAAAATAAGGAAATCGCTACATGAGTAATCGAGTGAATATCCAATGTTGTAAAAATTTGAATTTCAAACGCTCATAAAAATTTAACTTGACTGTCCGGTAGAGATTTTTTTATTGATAAAGGTAGATAATCTTATAAGGAATCTTGTGTTTCATTTTCAAATCTTAGATTTAAAAAGAAAAATTTTTACAAATTCTTAACTCAAAATAATTTGCTAATTTTCGTGATTTTTCCATATTTTGTAAATTTTTGAACTTTAAATGCTTATAAAAAAAAATTGTGACTAAGGATTTTTAATATTTTTCATCTGCCTTTGAAACAATATATTAGGAGCCTTCTATTAAATTTTCAAGCTTTCGCAACCAACAAATAAAATTTTATTGATATTTCTAGAAAAAAAACTAAAAAAAAATGAAAAATGAAAATGTCCCTAAACAGTTCAAAATAAATCAAAATATTTTGAAAATGTTATCGTGTATAGAAAATGCAAATATAAACAACCAGTGAAAATTTCATGTATCTACGGTCATTTGTTTTAAAGTTACACCAAAAACCAAATTCGATTTTTTGGAAAATCGATTTGCGTAAAAATTCCCGTTTTTCCTTAATTTTTATGTTGTTTTTTCCCGGCGCTTGTGAAAACTACTGGAAAATGTTTACTTTTGACCCCCCAAAGTACCAACTAGATTCACTTTCCTATCAGAAAAGGTACTATTGAAGAAAATCGAAGCACTTTTACTGTCCCAAAACGTGATGACAGACACAAAAATATAAAAATATAAAAATATAAAAACACACATCATTGTAAAACCAATACATTCATCGCTCCGCTCAGAATCTAAAATCTATTACTCTCTTTTCCTAATTTATATACTGCAATTAAAATATATCTAACCATAACTGTTACAAATTGTTCGGCTGAAAGAGCATTCTCTAAATTAGCTCATATAAAAAACAAATATAGAACAAGCTCTTCTCAAGAGAATTTAAATAGTTTTATGGTTTTGTGTTCGGAGAGTGATGTGTTGGAGGTAATTAATACCGATGATATAATTAAAGAGTTTGCTGCCCAAAAATCAAGAAAAACTTATTTATACTCATACATTTTTTATTTTTGTAGGTAATTAAAAAAAATAAATTTAAATTTATAAATATAATTTTTTTTTGTCTTAATTATTTTGATTTATGGGTCACCAAAATTTTGATTATGGTTATGGCCTATGGGCCCCTAAAATTGTTTGGCCTCGGGCCCAAAACTATCTTAATCCGGGCTTGACATTAATGATTTGGTCGATTTGAGTGATCGAGAAAGTGGACCACGACGTCCTGAACTAGCGGTATCTAATCTGTATTATAAATGGTAAATTATTTTATAATTCTTTATTTTAAGTTTAAGGAAACTTTTTTTGAGCTTAAAACTGAGTATTCAATATTCTCTTGCAATCATTTTGATTGAATGAAATTTCTATAGTCAATACTTAAAAAAAAGAAACAAAATTAACCTCGACATTTCAGAACGATTTTCACAATTTGTCGATGTTTCTTGTGGCCAAGATGCCAGTCAAATTGTCTCTGCTATTTACAGTAGTTTTAAAAATTGTAATTTAAACATGGATACACTAAATGTTGCAGCACAATCGTATGATAGTGCCAGTGTCATGTCCGGCCATATGTTTTTAATACCCCAAGCCTAATATGTTTGAAATGATATATGTTCATTTTGCTCTCCCATCTAACAATACGAAACTCAGTAAAATTCAATTGGATCTAGGATTTAGAAAAGAAAGTATCCTTAGAGTGTGCGACACTCGGTGGGTGTGCCGATTTAAAATTTGTGAAGCAATGATAAATAATTACACTGCCATATTAGAATATTTAAGTAAAGAAATTGAAGAGCAATCGGATAAAGATTTTGTCGAAGCAAAATGTATTAAATATTTTTAATATTCAGTATTTACTATTCATTATGAAAATAATAAAAAATTTAAATGTTTTCAGATATACCATAATAAAAGTACCCGGCCAACACAGAGCGGCGAACCAGCTAATAGACGGGGTGAGGAGTGATCGGCGAACACGATGCGTATCAAAAAGTTGCTGACATACCTATCTATTTTGTCATGCTTTTTCCTATGTATTAGGTTAATAGATTCTCCGATTTTCATGATTTGATATAAGCGACCAATGAGAGGCGGACAACATAACACACAGTATAAAGCATGGATAATATATAATACATAACAAATATATAATAACATGTATAATCGGAAAAGATGAAAATTCAAGAATTGTCGGTATATCCTAGTTATTGTTGACAATGACTGGAAAGGTTAGGCAATATTGGATATTTCGTAGTTTTATCAACATTTCCCTATTATATTAGGCAATTTTATAAATCCGAATCGAAACAAATATCGACACCGCGCTTTATCGGTGATCGATCTGATTATGGAACATAATAGCTATCTATACTATTACTTATTGGTATAATAATAAATAATATGGTAAATCCTGTTTTACGTTTTAATGGTAAAAACATCTAATTCAAAATACCCGGAACTTGAAGTAGGAACATCTGTGCGTATCTCTATTCCTG